TCCACAGTATACATCTGAATTACAGGTGATGAAGCAGGTTGGGAGACGACTAGAGCGCAGGTGGAGGAAATCACAGGAGGAATCTGACCGAACACATCTGAGAGCTCATGATTGAGCCTATGCTGTGGCGGTGAGGGCGGCGAAGAAGAAATGCTTCTCCCCTTCCATTGCCTCCTCACACTGCTGTCCAGTGGAGCTTTTTCGAGGGGTACGTGATACATCCAGGCCCTAAAAACGATCCTGTGCCACCATTGATAGCCCACTGTGATGACTTTGCCCGGCACTTCAAGGAGAAAATCACTCAGATTCATCACGAGCTGGACTCCACAGTTGATACAGTTCCTTTAGGGAGGTGTCCAGAACTCCGTCTGGTCCAGCTTTATTGGATGAATGTCAGTTAATGAGGCCTGATGATGTGGGCAAGGTGCTTGGGCAAGTACATCCTACCACCTGCTTACTCGACCCTTGCCCTTCATGGCTACTTACCAAAGCCAAACACAGGATTGGCTCCTGGATCCAGGAGGTTATTAACACCTTGCTGAGGGAGAGCCAGGTGCCCACTTCTTTAAAGGAGGCAGTGATCAGACCCTTCCTGAAGAAGGCATCCCTGGACCCAGAGGTGGCTGCCAATTATAGACTGGTGGCCAACATCCCATTTCTGGGCAAGGTGTTACAGCAGGTGGTGGCGGGACAACTCCAAGCGCTCTTGGATGAAATGGATTATCTGGACCCATTTCAGTCCGGCTTCAGACCCGGGTATGGCACTGAATCTGCCTTGGTTGCCCTGTAGGATGACCTGTGCAGGGTGAGGGACAGGAGGAGTGCATCCCTGTTCGATCTCCTGGACCTCTCAGCGGCTTTTGATACCATCGACCATGGTATCCTTCTGGATAAGCTGGCTGAGTTGGGAGTACGAGGCTCTGCATGGTGGTGGTTCTGTTCCTACCTGGCCGGCCTATTCCAGAAGGTGGTGCTGGGGGAATAGGCTCTGCACCTGTCACTACCTCTATTTCTTCCCCATCTATTTGCCAGAAAGTGATAAGACCGGATGCCATGATCTTAGTTTTCTTAATGTTGAATTTCAAGTCAACTTTTCCACTTTCCTCTTCCATGCACATCACAACACTCTTTAGTTCCTCTTCACTTTCTGCCATTAGAGTGGTATCATCTGCATATCCGAGGTTGTTGATATTTCTTAATTCCAAGTGGTGATTCATCCAGCTCTGCCTTTCTCATGATGTGCTCTGCATATAAGTTAAACAGGCAGGGCGACAGTATGCAGCCTTGCCAAACTCCTTCCCCAGTTTTGGACCAATCAGTTGTTCCATTTCCTCTTCTCACTGTTGCTTCTTGACCCGCATATGGGTTTCTCAAGAGACAAATAAGATGGTCTGGTACTGCAACCTCTTAAGAACTTGCCACAATTTGTTGTGATCCACACAATCAAAGGCTTTAGCATAGGCAATGAAGCAGAAGTAGATGTTTTTCTGGAACTCCCTAGCTTTCCCCATGATCCAGCGTATGTTGGCAATTTGATCTCTAGTTCCTCTGCCTCTTCGAAATCCTGCCTGTACTTCTGGTAGTTCTCGGTCCACATACTGCTGGAGCCTGGCTTGTAGGATTTTGAGCATAACTTTGCTAGCATGTGAAATGGTGCAATGGTGCGGTAGTTCGAACATTCTTTGGCATTGCTGTTCTTTAGGATTGGAATGTAAACTAACCTTTTTCAATCCTGTGGCCACTGCTGAGTTTTCCAAATTTGCTGGCATATTGACTGTAGCACTTTAACTGCATCATCTTTTAGGATTTTGAATAGCTCAGCTGGAATACTGTCTCCTCCACTAGCTTTGTTGTTGCTCAGACTTCCTAAGACCATTTGACTTCACATTCCAGGATGTCTGGCTTGAGGTCAGTGACCACCCCATCGTGGTTATTAGGGACATTAAGCTCTTTCTTGTAGAGTTCTTCTGTGTAATCTTGCCACCTCTTCTTAATCTCTTCTGCTTCTGTTTGGTCCCTGCTATTTTGATCCTTTGTCATGCCCATCTTTCTATGGAACGTTTCCTTTGTATCTCCAATTTTCTTGAAGAGATCTCTACTCTCTCCTATTGTTTTCTTCTATTTCTTTACACTGCTCATTTAAGAAGGCATTCTAGCTATTTTCTGGAATCCTGCATTTAATTGGATGTATCTTTTCTCTCTTGCCTTTCACTTCCCCTCTCTACTATTTGTAAAACTTCCTCAGACAGCCAGTTTTCTTTCATGCATTTCTTTTTCTTTGGGATGGTTTTAGTTGCTACCTCTTGTACAATGCTGCGAACCTCTACCCTTAGTTTTTCAGGTACTCTATCAGAAATAATTACTTAAATCTGTTTTTCACCTCTACTGTATATTCATCAGGAATATGATTTAGGTCAGGGGTCTCAAACTCGCAGCCCGCGAGCCAATTGCAGCCTGTGGGACGCTATTTTGTGGCCCCCACTTGATATTTAGTGATAGTGCGGCCCGCGCATTTTTCTCACACACACCTGTGTGAGTCGTTACCCTGGGCGCAAGGTTCTCTCTAAGCTGTGTGCCAGGCCGGGCCAGGCGGGGCACGGAGAGGGGCCCTGTGGCCTTCAAAGTGCTGGCGGCGCCCAGGCCAGCCTCTGGGAGCCACGCGGGATAAGCGACCCACCACCACCACGGAATACTTGAAATCCTTTTTTGGTAAAATTCTTGATGCGGCCCAGCCTCACCAAGACTCTACTTCCAGCAGCCCCCAGGTAAGTTGAGTCTGAGACCCCTGATTTAGGTCATACCTGACTGGCCTAGTGCTTTTCCCTACTTTCTTCAATTTAAGCCTGACTTTTGCAACAAGAAGCTCATGATCTGAGCCACAGTCAGCTCCTAGTCTTATTTTTACTGACTGGATAGAGTTTCTCCATCTTTGGCTGCAGAGCACATAGTCAATCTGATTTCTGTGTTGACCGTCTGGTGATGTCCATGTATAGAGTCGTCTCTTGGGTTGTTGGAAAAGAGTGTTTGCTCTGACCATCGTATTCTCTTGACAAAATTCTACCAGCCTGTGCCCTGCTTCATTTTCTACTCATAGGCCAAACTTGCCTGTTATTCCAGTTATCTTTTGGCTTCCCACTTTAGCCTCTTCAGCATCAGTGGTTGGGGCATAGATTGTGATGTTGAATGCTTTGCCTTGGATTTGCTTTTGTTTAGTTTTATTGTTGTTGGGGTATTTATGATATGATTATGATATTTATATTTTACTGTTGTATTTATTTTGTTGTGAGCCATCGAGACTCAGTGTGTTTGGATGGCCTAGAAATATCCCAAATAAATAATAAATAAATAAATTTGAACTGATATCATTCTGACATTTTGGAGATTGTATCCATTTCTTCTGAGGGATTCTTGCCTGCAGTAGAACACCTGATGCTCATCTGAATTAAAGTCACCCATTCCTGTCCATTTTAGTTCGCTGATTCCTAAGGTGTCGATGTTCAGTCTTGTCATCTCTTGTTTGACCACATCCAGCTTGCCTTGATTTATGGATCTTACATTCCAGGTTCCTGTGGAGTATAGATCTTTGCAGCATCGGACTCTCCTTTCACCACCAGACACATCTGCCACTGAGTGTCCTTTCGGCTTTGACCCAGTTGCTTCATTCTTTCTGGCACTACTAGTACTAGCCCTCTGCTCTTCCCCAGTAGCATATTGGACACCTTCCAACCTGAGGGGCTCATCTTCTGGCATCATATCTTTTTGCCCTTTGGTACAGTCCATGGGGTTTTCATGGCAAAGATACTGGAGTGGGTTGACATTTCCTTCTTCAGCGGATCAGCTTTTGTTAGAGCTTTCTGCTATGACCTGTCCGTCTTGGGTGCCCCTGCACAGCATTGCTCATAGCTTCATTATTAGCCCCTTTGCCACGGCAAGGCATTGACCCATGAAATGGGGTAAATCTAGACAGCATACTAAAAAGCAAGGACATCACCCTGCTGCCAAAGTTGGTATAAGTTATGGTTTTCCCAGTTAAAATGTATGGCTGTGAGAACTGGACCATAAGGAAGGCCAAAGAATTGATGCTTTCGAACTATGGCGTGGAATAAGACTCCTGAGACTCCCTTGGACTGAACAAAGATCAAATCAGTCAATCTTAAAGGAAATCAACCCTGATTATTCTTTAGAAGGCCAGGTACTGAAGCTGAAGCTCAAATGCTCTGGCCACCTAATAGGAAGGAAGAACTTGCTGGAGAAGACCCTGATGCAGGGTCACAAAGAGTTGGACATGACTTGACCTTTCAACAGGTCCAGTTCTAGGAATCTGCTCCTCCCCACCACTAATTAGAACGAAGAGCCCCTTCCTCCTTCAACCACTCTTTGCCCTACAACCAGCTGCCCTGTTGTTGAAGCAACGCCTCCCTACCCAGTTCCCTTTCTCCAGGAATGGTTCTTTCCCAGCCAGTTTTTATTTTTTAATTTACGTAAAATGCAACCCCCCCCAATACTACTATATCCTGCCAAATACTGTAGTTTTTAAAAATAGCTCTGAAATAAAAATATCGATAGAGAATACAGATAAAATACTTTCATTAATATATTTATTCATTTTAATTAATTTTAGTTTTATTTACAAATATTTATTTTGAGATGCTTCATTTGAAGTGCACATACTGTACCTATTTGATAAACTTCTATGCAAAACATTTTTATTTCCACTCCGAGCTCTTACTGAATGGTTCCTTCCAATCATTTTTTACCTCAAAGACACTCCCCCCCTTTTATTGAATTGCTCCTTCCAACCCTCCCACGTGTGCCTCGTGAACGGAGCGAGAACTACTACCCCGGGAAGAAAGCCAACAGCGCCGCCGCTGGGTTTCAGGCCCCGCCCCTTTCTTTCATATTCTCGCGAGTTCCGTCAGAACGTGAAGTGGCCTACAGATCGCGCGAGACTTGCAATGCAATAAGTTCTACAAACCCACGGCTGCGACTTCCGGTTCCTGGTTGAAAGGTCGCGGTGGGAGGCTCGCAGAGGCCGGTGGTTTCCCTTTCCCCTCCTTCCCTCCCCCGTTTCCGGAGCTCCTGAGCTTCCAGGAAAGGAGATGGAGCGGGAGTGAAACCGCCGCGGGACCGCCCGACCCCTTCCCTCCCCCCTTTCCCTGCCGCGGAGAAGCCCGGGCCTGGGGGAGGCCGGCAAGCCACTGAGTGAGTGATGGACGGGGGAGGGCGGGGCGAGACAGGAGAGGCCCCACCCCTTTGGGAGGGGTGGGCACCCTCCCTCTTCTCGGGGGAGGGGAGAAAGGGTGGGCTTCCAGCCCTCTGCAGATGGGGAATTGTTTCGAATAGTGTGTATCTGTTTGTATCTTTTGGCCACGCCCCCAAAGGAAGTTTCCTTGGGTTCCCTGACCACGCCCCCAGTGGCTAGGCTGTGTCCTTGGGAGGGAAGCTTGCCTGGCCACGCCCCCAAGAGAAGCGCTGTGGCTGTTCCTTCAGTGCATTGGCTCTTCCCCACCTCTGGGGCAGGAGTGGGCGCAGCTTTTCTTGGCCACGCCCCTCATTGAATTGCTGGTGATAGCAGGCCTGGATGCCCTGCAGATGCCATGCCAAAGGGTAGCCTGAGAAAAGCAGTCTGTATTTGCTCCCCCCCTTGGCCCCCTTCTGCCCGTTTGGATTTGTGCTCGTAGCTGCACTTATTACGGTTCGTTAGTTGATCGATTGCAAGTATTCGTTTGCTGCTTCCAGGCTCCCCTGCTTCCCTGTTGGATTGCAGTCTAATAAGACCTGATACATATAGAAGGAGAACTGGGGAGGAAATAGGAGAAAAACCTCCAGTAGTTCTACCCTGCTTCTTATTGGGGACTGGTTAAGGGATCTTGGGAAGGTGCATATTTAATGTATTTGTACTGTGTCAATCCATAAAGTCACATCCTTGAATTTTGAACCACTGAGCAGGGCTGACAAGACCTTTTGGAAGGCCTTTCATTCATGGAGTCGCCATAAAGTCAGAAATGTAGTATATATTTATAATCATATATATATTCTGCCTTTTTTCTCCAAGGGGTTTTATTTAATTCTTCTCCTTCACTGCATCTTATCCTTACAGCAACCCTGTAAAATAAGTTAGACTGGGACACCCACTGAAGTTCATGACAGAGGAGTACATAGATAGTCCCAGTGTAACACTCTGACTATGCTTTTGTTCATTCGTTTCAAATTATTGCCTTTAGCATTCATGTCTTGAGCAACTCTCCCAATGTCGCAGCCTCCAGATGTGTGGCAATCATCTCCCATCAACCTGCACTTCTGTCTGGGGCTGTTGGGAGCCATAGTCCAACATGACTGGTTGGGGAAAACTAGTCCTGTAGTGCAGCTTGCAGGAGACACAGCCTTAAATGCTCCATTTGGGTGTGGTGCTCTCTGGGTGACCTTGGGAGAGTCATCTGCTCTCGGTGTAGCCTAATCTGGTCATTTTGATGAAGACCATGGATAGAATGCCCTGGAGGAGGAATGGAATAAGATCGGCCTCTGTCCCTCAACCAGTGCCACCACTTTTTCCATGGTTGCTCTGGTCCCTTGTTTGCAGTGCTCCATCATTAAAGACGCCTTGCATCTACCCATCGTGAAACCTTCCCTTTAGATATGCTTGTTGGCTAGCTTAGGTGGAGTGGTGCATAGAAGCCTGGGTCTTACTTCTTGAGAGACCTGCACACTCTCAAAGGAAGGAGAAGGAAATGGGTAAGGCCTGTCTGTCCCTTTGCCGCCAGAGTTAAATAATAAAGAGTTGAGTACCCTGGAATGAAACCAGAAAAGCTTTCATTTCATCCAGAAAGCTGCAATCGTATTTTGGAAACTGGCACTCAACTGCTCCTCTTCAGGGAATGCAAGGTGGTTGGTTAATTGTGGTATGCAAAGCTTTTGCCTCGCAGATTCTAGTCTATGAATGTCTGAATAAGGCTTTCCATAAAGTTCCCCTCTGAAGGAGGACCTGGAATGCTGGGGCAACCAGGACAAGTGTTTGGCCAGCATAAGCAATGCTAAGGGATGACGGGAGTTGCAGGGTCCCAAATGTCTCATGCCTGGTCTAGAGGTGGAGCAGCTGCACCCCCCAAGATTGTCACAGCACCCCTTCCCTTCTGTCTGTGGCTAAATTCGGACCTCCCCCACCAGCCATTTGGAAAAGAGTGATGTCAATGGTATTGTGCACAGAAATGCCTCATTCTGAAACTTTGAAGACCAGTGGTCAGTCAGTGAACTCAGTGGACCTACTGTCTGTCTCTCTAAGACAGCTTCAGCCCAGCACCATCAAAAGTAGATTCCTTAATATGAGTGATGCAGAACTCAGCATCCTCCCTGTGTGCAAAGAAATGGGATATATTCTGCCACTTCCGCAAAGGCCTTTGATTCCAAGATTGCATTCAGTTTTTAAAGGACTTGGCCTTTATTGTTGATGTTGTAGCCAAGCGTTTTCCAAGCAATCACACGCCTTGTTCTGTTTGTTTGCTTTTCTTCCCCTTTTCTTCCTCATCTAGTTTCTTATCCTGTCCAAGACTCGCTTAGTTGATGCAGAAAATAAAGAGGGCTCGACTGGAAAAAGAAAGTGCAGGAAGGTGGAGAAGGTAACTTTCCTAAGCCAGCCTGGGTGCTGTTTAAAAACTCAGGATCTATGATCAATTCACGGGGGTTAAAAGAATCAGCAGCAGGGCGTAGGGGCTTCTAAGGTTTGTGATGGACCGCTCAAGTTTGGGGTCTGGGTCAGAAAGTCCAACAAGCTCAGCTCTTTTACTATGCAGCTCCATAATAACTGTGGAGACAGTTAGTTTAATGGCATAGATGCACTTTCTTTCAATCTTCAAAATTTACTGATTCTATTTATTTTTCCTCTTTCAGAATCTAGAAGGGACTGATAGGCAAAGAGTTTGGGTGGGAGTGAAAAATACATTTAACTATCCAGACAGATGTACCTTTCTTCCATCCCAAGCTATGGGAATGTGAATCCTGCAGAATAAGGGCCCAGCTATTCACAAGAGCAGGCCCAAGATGTTTTGATACCTTCAAGTCCCAGGGCAGCCTGGATTCTCCTCTATGTATGCACACATGGTTTGTGGCCAGAAAGAAGATTCCCTTTTTTCCATAATATTAGGCCTTGAGTTCATCCATCATGCTGATTGGAAGGGGAGACAGGATAGAAGGGAGTTGTTCAGGCAGCATAGGAGAATCACTTATACAAACATAGAAACAGAGCAAGTCAGAACCCTGGCTCCAGCCACTCCACTCACGACATGCCCACCATGTGGACGTCCAGCCTGTCCTTGAACACCCGTACCGATGGGGTCTCAACGACCTCTTGTGGAAGCCCATTCCACACCCTCAGGGTCCTAACTGTCAGGAAGTGCTTCCTGGCATCCAAATGGAACCTGGGTTCCCTGAGCTTTGCTCTTTTGATCAGCAGACTGTTCACCCCTTCTTCCATGTCACTGATGAAAGATTAAATAGGATTGGCCCCAAGACAGAGCCCTGGGGGACCCCGCTTGTCACTGACCGCCATCCCGATGATTCCCCACTAATGGTTACCCTCTGCTTTTGGTCAGTCAACCATGCCCTAATCCATCGGACAGTGCATTCGTCTGTCCCAAAACTCCTCAGTTTCTCAACCAGGATAGCATGGGGCACTTTGTCAAAGGCCTAGCTGAAATCCAGGTAAACCACATCCACTGCATCCCCTCCATCCAGCCATCTCGAAACCTTGTCATAGAATTTCACAAGGTTTGTCTGGCAGGGCCTGTTTTTGCGGAAGCCGTGTTGTGTGGCCGCCAGCCTCCTTTCCCTATCTAGCATCACTAGATCTCTTGCTATTATGAGCCTTTCCATTGTTTTTCCTACAATGGACATAAGGCTAACAGGTCTGTAATTCCCCATGTCCCTTCTACTACCCTTTTTGAAAATTGGGCCCACTGACGCCACCCTCCAGTCCTCTGGAACTTCACCTGTTCTCCATGAGGCCTCCAGAATGGAGGCCAGCGGGCATGAGAGAACCCCTGCCAACTCTCTAAGTACTCTTGGGTGTAACCCGTCAGGGCCCCGTGCCTTTGTAATGTCCAGCACCCTGAGGCTTCCCTTGACTTCTGGGGGGGGGGGTTACTAATCTGTGCCCCTAAGTCCCCTGCTGCATCTAATCTCCCATGCGAATCTGCCCTATCCTGCTTTGGGGAGAACACAGAGGCAAAACAGTCATTCAGCATCTGTGCCTGTTCCCTCATAGCAGTCACTGGATCTCCTTCCTCCTTATTTAGTGGTCCCACCACTTGTCTCCCCTTCCTCTTGCTATTTACATGCTGAAAGAAGCCCTTTTTGTTGCTCTTGATATTCTTGGCAAGTCTCAGCTCTTAATCAGCCTTAGCCTTGGAAAGAATCCTTCTGTAACAGGCCTCCTCCTCCTGGTATACCCTTTTGTCTATTTGCCCCAGTACCCATTTTTTACGGAGGTTCCTCTTGCGTCTAATCCAGTGATGGTGAATCTTTTAGAGACCGAGTGCCCAAACTGCAACCCAAAACCCACTTATTTATCACAAAATGCCAACACTGCAAGAAAACTTGAAAACAGAGGTTTTAGTGTAGAAAGAACAACTCACAGGCAGTCCAAGCAAATATATATATATCCTTGGCAGTGCACTGACCAGCTGTGTGAAAGCTCAGATGAGTTGTGGCTAATGAGTCACGGCTTGTGATGTCATCGCCTCGTGCTGCCGCTCCTTTCTGAGCATGCTCATGGCCCCTATGTGCACTGTTATCTGATGCTCGGCTGCTGGGGTGATGCTGGGGTGACTTGGCTCGCATGCTGACATAGAGGGCTCTGTGTGCCCGCTGTGGCACATGTGCTGTAGGTTCGCCACAACTGGTCTATTCCCTCTAATCACCTCCTTTTGCATCCATGGCGGCCTCTCCTCCGCCTCCCCACCTTACTGACTAGAGGTATCGTCAAGGCTTGTGCCTCCAAAACCTCCCTTTTGAGTGCCATCCACCCCTCCTCAACTCGCTTACCTTCCAGTAACCCATCCCAGGAGGCTTTGCCCAGTCTGGCCTTCAGTTGGCCAAAGTTGGCCCTCTTGAAGTCCCAGCTTCTAGTGCTCGACCTGCTGCACGTCCGCAGTCCCCTGATCTCAAAGCAAAGGATGGAGTGATCACTCGCATCCAGAGCTCCCCTAATCTGTACCTCATCTATCAGTTCCTTCCTGTTTGTCAAAGCCAAGTCAAGGATGTTCGCCCCCCCCCCGCCCCATTGCCTCTCAGACCCTCTGTGTGAAAAACCCTCCCTCTATAGCTTCTAGGAAATGACGTGACCTGGCTGTCACCGCCAAGTGAGTCTCCCAACTAATCTCCCATAATTACTGTGCCTGTTCCCTGAGATATCCTTCGAATCTGGCCTGTCAGGACATCATCCAGGGTCTCAAGTAGACCTGGAGGGTGATAACATACCCCCACTGTCAGGTCTCTTTCCCTGTCAAAACCCCTAAGTTTCACCCAGACTGCCTCTACCAAATCCCCATCTGCACTGCATCCTATCTCACTGCATCCTATCCCTTCCCTGACATAAAAAGCTACAACCCCACCCCTCTTTCCCTTCCTGTCCTTTCTAAACAGGTGATACCCCTCTATGTTCACATTCCAGACTTGCCTTTCATCTCACCAAGTTTCTGTGATTCCCACCAGATCAGACCCTCCTCTTCCCAGGAGAGCTTCAAGCTCTTCCTGATTGTTACACTTGCTCCTAGCATTGGTGTACATGCACCTCAACTCCTTCCCACCGCTTCCTTTCCTTGGAGTCCCCAGCCTCCTCCTTCCTCCCATCCTCCCTGATACCTGGCCCCTCTCTGAAGGAGTCCTGTCAGTCCCTGCAGTACCTCTAAAACCTGCTCCCAGAGCCCTGATCCTCTCCCCACACTTGTCCAGTGCAGACACGTTACTGGGGGGCCTGAACCCCCCCGCCCCCCCGGGGTCACTTTAAAGTCTTCCAGACGAAGCTCACTAGAGCATCTCCAAAGGACCTTTTCCCCATCCTCATGAGGTGTGACCCATCCCTTGCCAGAAGTCCATTGGCAAGAAACCGGGTGCTGTGGTCGAGGAACCCGAAGCGTTCCTTCTGGCACCACACCCTAAGCCAGTTGTTCACCTCGGAGGCCCTGCCTGGCCCAAATCCCCGGAATGGTAAGATCGACAAGAAGGCCACTTGGGCCTTTAGCTCTCCGAGTTTCTTTCTCAAGGCCTCGAAGTCCCTGGTGATCCCACCCACCCCCTGCCTGGCTATGTCGTTTGTGCCCACATGGATCGCCAGGAGCAGCTGGTGACCCCAGAGCGAACAAGACACTCCACTCTGTCCTTCACATGCCGGATGCGTGCGCCCGGCAGGCAGCAAACCTCCCTAGTCTCCAGGTCGGGCGGCCTCAGTGCCCCTCAGCAGGGAGTCCCCAACAACAATCACCCACCGCTATGTCTTCCTGGTGGTGGTGGGCGGCCGTGCCCTGGCCCTCGCCTCTCCTGCAGCGGCCCCCTGGCTGCGTGTGGTCCCAGGCTGGGAGTCCTGCTGGTCTCCCGAGGCCCCATCAGCCCCAGCCTCCCCAAGCAGAGAGAACCTGCTTCCAGCTCCAGATCGGCGACAGGAGAAGGAGGAGGCCGTGCTGGCCTCATCCTCCTGTGGGTGACATGCCTCCGTGTCTCCCAGGCTGCCCCTCCCGTGCCCATCTGTCTGGAGGGGGGCTACTCCCGGGGGCCCTCGGGCACCTCACCTCCTCCAGGAGG